CAATTCAAAGTATCCAAAAGTTCATCAACTCAGGGTAATAGATAATTGTCTCTGACAGTTACGGCATTCAATTTTCTATAATTGATACAAAATCGCATCTTTCAGTTTTGTTGCTTAACCAATACAACTGGTGACACCTACGGGCTAGTAGATGGTCAAATAATCTGCTCATCCAACATACTATTAATTTCTTTCTTGAGAAATCACTTTTCTGCAGGAGAATATCGATACGATCATTGATGAATCGGCTATACGTCTTGGGTAGGAATACAATGCCAAATTATATCAGTCTGGCCCAACTCAGAGATATCTTGAGCACAAAGATCAGGATTTTCTCTAAGTAACTCCAACAACTGCTTTCTTTGGTCATCTTCTACTTCCCTATATTATATTTAATATTAGAGCAGCTTTCTTTTTCATAATAATAATCAAATAGATCCAATATAGATTGGTTGTCTTTCTCTTGCGCTGAAATAAGATCTGCAACAGGTCCTTATCGTATAATATTATTTCTTCATTTGTTCATCTAATATCTCTTTCTTCTATCATAATTTTATCCTATTCTGAGCCTAGCCTTTTTCGAACATTCTCTCTTTCATCATTAAATTCCAAGATTGCATATAGTTGTCTTCTAATTCTTTATCTTCAACTTCCTCATCTTCTTCTTCTTCAACTTCGTCATTATCATCGGTTCCAAGGTCTCTTATTCTTACAACTCGTTCCTTGTCTAACAGCACCTTGGCTAATTTTCGAAACTCAACTAGAACAACAATTTCTTTATCATCCCAGACCAAAGTCATCTCAGACCTGTTCCAATCGATGGCTGCTTTAACCTTAGCTAACCAGTTATTTCCTACAATAGCACAATACGAACCAGCATCGGTTACAACTACATCGATCGAGATTTCAACACCACCGATATTGAATGGAAAATCGGAAATTTCTCCAATAGCATGCTTGCTCTCTCCATGGATGTTGACCATATTTACTACCAATGGCCGTTCGATTCTTATACCAAGATCATTCAATAAATGGGAAGTAACAACACTTCCAGAAGACCCGCTATTGACAATTAATGGAATTACTTGGTCGTAAACCTTAGCGCCACAATATAAAGCCGTTGATTTTAAGGTAGATTGTATATTAACATTGGCTTGAGCCTTTTTACGACTTACGACTCTTTTCTTTTGTAAGGATTGTGATAATTCTTGTCTCATGGATGATGTAACTCGTAATAATTGCCCGATAGTTATATTGGCAGGTTTATCCCTTATATTGGCTACTATTGAATATGGTATGACCAAAGAAGAGATTTGGGGTAAATCATCCTTCACAATATTCCTTCGTCGAATAACAGGAACCTTCTTTTGACCCACTTTTACATCTTCTTTCTTTTTATTTACTTTAGGCAGTTTAACCTTCTTTACTTCAAGTAGTTCGGCGGATTTGTCTTGGTCTTGGTCTTGATTTTGAGTAACCAAGTCTTGTAATTCTTGACCTTCATGATCTTCATGAACTTCTTCTATTTCTACGTCTGGATCTTTAGTACTCTCTCCTTCTTTAAGATCGATTAAATTAGTTGTTTTCGTTCCAGTTGACTTTTTTCTAAGAATCGGCATATTTACTATAGGCTTGGGACGAATAGGCCTTTCTGCCAGTAAAAATAATGACTTATCTTTGGGAATTTCTAAATATGAAGTTTGATCCCTGGTATTATTAAAAATGCCTGGATTATTATTCATTAATGCCAATAGGGCTTGCAGAGTTTCTTGAGGGTCATTTTCATTAAGAGTAGAATTATTATTAT